TGAAACAAACTACCGAATTGAGATATTAAAGTTATATGACAAATAATAATGAAGTATTTGATCGAACAAAATAATAATAAAAACAAGAATATGGTAGTGGAATTAAGAGATTTTATTAACTCAAGAATAATGGAGAAGAGAGAAAATTATAATAGATCCATAATTCTAATAATCTATTTTTTCACACTATAAAATTGTATAGAACAGTCTAGTATTTATAGGGAATAAGTAGGGAATGTCCAAACCCACTTAGTAGAGTTGTTGATGAAGTATAATACCATAAAATTGAGTCCAAAACAACCTCGTATTCTTCTCAATTCATATTTTGATATTGTTTGAAAAAAGAATGAATTTATATAAACTATAAATGCAATTATTTTGAATATACAACAATTGAGGATAATGTCTTTCTTTATTGTCTTTTGTTAATTTTTTTTTCATTGTATCAGAGCTTATATTATGAAAAATATTTCAAATTATAAAAGTATGACAATTTTAAATATCATCGATATGAAAATTTGTAAGAAGACTACTGTACATCGAATTCATCTATGACACCTGTTACATTACAGGTAGCTAAATAGCCGATTATGACGACTTTCTATGATGGAAAGTAGTTGTTGCGAAAAGTCTTCGCACAGTGATAGAGATGACAATAGAATGTGACACCCTCTACACACTGTTCTCGTTCCCGTCTAAATCTCTACTGAAGGAGCAATGGGATGGGGACAAGTTAACATACCATTCCACTTGATATAATATTGTTCATTTCCAACGTAACCCATACAATTTTGTTTTCTAACTTTTACTCAAAATGTCTTATGCCAATTAAGAGTAATTATTTCATTTATTATTAGTCATATTTTACTTAAGAGATGTGTTATTGTAGCTAATGCAATTGCCTCACTTAAGGGGGCCCAACGTCCTTGTTGGCCGCATTTTCGATTGGACTTAGGCTATGATACCATATGTTACATTTCAATTTCAATCCACTTTATATGAAATTGTCCGCTTTGTGTTTAACTCACACAGTTTTATTCTTAGACTTTACCCAAAAGACCTCATATCAATTAAGGGTGGCTCTTTCACTCATAAATTGGTCTTATTTTCCTTCTTCAAGCTATATGAGATTGTAGCCACTTCTAATTTGATTATTTTTTATTCTATTGTAATATTATATTAAATTTTGAGTTATATTAATAATTATCGCGTTACCAACTTGTTGTGATAACCTAAGGGTGGGGCATCGTAGGTTCGGGGCGAACAAGTTTTTTTTTACCAGTTCTACATAGTGAATTAGAATTATATTTGGTGTTGAAGTGTGTCGTTTAACAGAATTGTTGAACCTCACTTCATGATGTCCTTACAATTAAATTTTGAGTTATATAAATAATTTCCGAGAGATGTGTTCCCAACTTGTTGAGATAACCTAGGGGTGGGGCATTGTAGGTTTAGGGTAAACAAGTTTTGTTACCATCCCTATAGAGTGAATTAGAATTATATTTGGCGTTGAAGTGTTTTGTTTAACAAAATTGTTGAATCTCACTTCATGATGTCCTTACAATTACGATCCGAATCTTATTCTTACACAAACAATGGATTGACTTGAATCATCTATGACACTTTCAAGTAAGTAATAAATTACAATTAAAAAAAAAAAAAACATTCTTTTTCATTAAAAATAAATATTTTACTATTTATCTCTTTTTATGAAAAATATCTCATTCTTATTTGACATCAATATTTTAATTTCTCATTAAAAAAACAACATTTTTACAGGTTACACATTAGTTGGGTAACGAATGTGTTGCTATATTACAATAAAATTTAATATTTCAAATTTTTTATTAAAAAATAATATTTTAAAGTAACACTGTGTTACGTGTTGAGTAATATAATTGTTACTGTGTTATTTAATTTAATTTTTTTGTTTGTAGAGTAACATATGTATTACTTTGTTACTGATTTATATGGTAACATATGCGATATTGTTCTAACCCATCTCAAACCCTAACAATATCCAGCCCGACACTCTTTCCCACCATTATTGTAGCTTTCAACGTCAAAACAAAATAGTCAATTCAATGTTTTTCAAACTCAACCATATGCACTTCTTTCCTCCAATCAGCATCATTAGCGTTGCAATTTTTTCATTTTTTATGACATGTTATTTGTCACTAAAATAAATATATGAGAAAATAAAAAAGTTTAGAACTAAATAAAATTTTTTAATATTAATTTTAATTTTTAATAAAAAT